CATCAAGCACCCTGAAACACACCCACGATTTCTTTAATAACCAATGCAGCTTATGCAAGGAAGATGATCACGTCACCATTGCTCCTTGTGATGCAATAGGAAGCTGGCACCTGAAGGTCAGGATCGTAATCAGTGTTGCGATAGCTGTAACTTCAGAAACTTTGAATGGACACTGAATGAATGAATGGACGTAACTTGAGGACTACCTGTATTCTGAAGTAGCTAATAATTAAAATTGTGGAAACTAAAGAATAATCAGTAAATGCGTTATCAACAAGAATAAAATATATATTCATTCAGAGGAAGCTTGCAGTATGAGATGTAAACTGAAGAAAAGCACAGTGCATATGAATGCCTCGTAGAAATTAACCTTTATCTTGTAGGGTTACTTCAGTTTCTCTTATGTTTTACTGGCCATATGGACCTTTTCTCTATAGTTGGCCATATGGACCTTTTCTCTATAGTTAATTTTTAATTTCACAAAGAAGTATAAAAATATGCTTGGTAGATGGAACATTGCCAGGCTAAATCAGAATCCCCAGATTAATAAAATACAACAAACTTATTCACTATTGTATTGAATCATGAAAAGGACAAGAAAATTGACATACAAAACAATTTATTTTCTTTCATTAGTTATCACTTATTTGTTCAGAGCTGTTATGTGTAATTGTTTTCATAGGGCTGTTGTTACAGAAACTGAGATTGTTTAGTGTTACTGAAATTATATACTTTATTTCAGTAGCGTTTAAACATTTTAATCCTTGTCTATATAGTATAGCAATAGCAATAGCAGTAGACTTATATACTGCTTCATAGGGCTTTCAGCCCTCTCTAAGCGGTTTACAGAGAGTCAGCATATTGCCCCCANAAAAAAATTGCCTCTTCAAAACCTTGGTGCGTCTTATACTCTGAAAAATACGGTAACCACTATTGATAAGAAAAACAAAAAAGTCTGGATAATGGATATGACAATACCCAGAGACAGCAGAATAGAAGAGGAAGAATAGGAGAAAATCATAAAATATAAAGACATGCAAATAGAAGTAGATCGATCGTGGCAGAAGAAAGCAAAGTTAGTAATAATAGTAATAGGTGCCTTGGGGCAAACCCAAAACAACTAGAGCATCGCTTGAGCACCACTGGCATTGAGAAAACCAGCCAATTGTAAAAGCAGATCTCCTTGGAACTGTTTATATCCTGCAGCAATACTTTAATATTAAACAACATTTGCCTCTCCCAGGTCCTTGGAAAGCACATTCTGACTGAATGCGTGATCATTCACAATATTTTTATTATGTCCCACCTTTTTATGTATTTTAAGGTGGCAAACATATTTAGTACTCCTACTTTGTATTTTCCCCACAACAACAACCCTGTCAGAAAAAGAGATTGCCACAGGGTCAACTAGCCAGCTTTCATGCAGAAGGGCAGCCTCACAATCTCCTGGTTTATAGGCTAGCATCTTAACTACTATTTCCAAAGTGTACGTAAAATATGTAGAACCATATGAATAGTCATACCTATGGCAGGCAAAAGCTATAACCTAAAAAAAGGCAAGGCTAAACTGTTAAGAATCATCCGCTATCAAAGGTTAAAATAGAAATTCTGCAGTTTAAGGATGATTTATGGAAAATAATTACAACACAAAAGACCGGCACAAAAAACAAAAGCTTGGGAAAGGAAAGACAGATAAGGAAGATTTATAATAAGTTTGTGTGTGGAAGTGAGTGACTAAATAAGATGAGAAAATACTGCTAACGGAATGAGGGATTAGTTGCAGAAACCTCTTGAGCAGACTGATTTAAACAGTGAACTATATCTGCTCAAAGCTGTGTAGGATGCAGAATTCCTAGGAAAGGTAGGAAAATGTGAATTTAGTGGTAGAAATTGAACAGCATAGGAAACTGAATTTGTACAGAATAGGAAATGACTTCTGGTAAAAAGTGATCAATTGCAGACCCCACAAGATCCTCCAGACAGCAGAGCTTTGACAAAGGACCCTGTAATGGTGCTACAGTGTTGGCTGGTGAGTTGCCAACTGGTAGACAGGGTGAGCCAGTTCATTCTGGAAAAAGCTGCTGCTTTGGAAACTTTCTTTTTCAAAGAGACAATAAGTGATGCTTTCTACTTCTTAAACACTTTTATCATTTACGGATGAAGGCAAATATACCTGTCCCAGGATAATGTTGCAGGATGCAATCTGAGTTAGTCACCAGGACCAGAAGTTTATTCTTCCAAGCTTTTGGACTCGGATTGGAGCCCATCCTCAGGGAACTTCCCTCTTTCCAGAATGTGTGGTGAGAGAAGACATTCTGGAGAGAAGGAGCGAGAGCAAGAGCAAGAGCGAGAGCGAGAGAGAGCGAGAGNAGTAGCCTGCAGTGCTGCATTTAACCACTGCGCCACCTCGGCTCTTTATCCAATTTCTTAAACAGGTATCCCACATTCATCAATCTCTCGTATTTTTCCATTTCTTCTTTTATATTTTGTAGTTTTACAATATATTATTCTTAACTGCATGTTCTTTTACTTTCTAATGCTCATTGGATCTCTTTTATTTCAGAAATCAGTTCTGTTATTTTTAAGGACAATTGGATGAATTCAGCAACTCAACATGATAGCATTCTATGTTACTAATCATTTCTTTTGTCTTAATAAAATTAAAGTATTCATATAGTGCAATGAAAATCTCTAGGTACCTTTGCTTCTTGCAAGCATCTCTGGATTTCTCACCTATTCCTTGAGAGAGTTGATTTGCTCACTAAGTGCACTCTTCTAATTTTGGCCAGTAGGCAAATATTTTTTTCTCAAATACAACGCAAGGTCCTGTTTATCATCTTTAAAGCGTTTGAATGGTACGGGGCCAAATTATTTGCAGTACTGTCTCTCCCCAAGGGAATCTGCCCCTTCTACCAAGTTAGATAAAGTGGGCATGCTCCAGGTCTCTTCCTTTAAATGTGGTATCTAAAGTGACCTAGGAAAGTTGCTAGGTGGGGCTTCATTCTTTTAACCTCCTAGAACCGTGATGGTGAACCTATGGCACGCGTACCACAGGTGGCATGCGGAGCCATTTGTTAGGGCACGCAAGGCGCTGGCCAGCTAATTTTGACCTTCCTTTGAGGCCTTTTTCACCCTATGGAGGTTTCCTCAAAAAACCAGTCCTGTGGGCAAACCAGAAATCCAGGAACGGACTTTGTTTGCTTTTAGGACCGTTTTTCACCCTCCCGAGCCTTCAGGAGGCTTCCCTAAAGGCTCTGGAGGGCAAAAAACGAACCTATGGACAAACTGGAAGTCACAATCCCCGAACTTCCAGTTTGTCTGTAGGTCTGTTTTTTGCCCTCCAGAGCCTTTAGGGAAGCTCCTGAGGCCTCCGGGGGGGGGGGAAATGCTGTTTTCACCCTCCCCAGGCTCCTATAAAGCCTCTGGAGTGGGGTGGGTGGGTACTGGTCGTGCGCATAGCATTATAGGTATGGCACACCAGTGCACGACCCCCCCCCCATGCTCCCTCCACTTTTGGCACGGGAGCCAAAAAAGGTTCATCATCACTGTCCTAGAAAGCCTCAAAAAGCTTGCACTTTCCCCAAGCATAGAGTTTAGATGAGAGTGGAGCTTAGAGAATGTAATTGTTTATATATTAAGAAATGCTGATTTGGAGCACTGTGAATTTTTAAAAAAAATGCCTTTAATATTTTCTTTGAAGCTTATTATTGTTTCTATGAGTGACCAAGGTTTTGGTACATAAGATGGGTAGCCAAGTTTTCTTAGATAGATGGACATCAATCCATCCATCCCATCCATCCATTCATAATTATTTACATGTCTACATACATCTGAAATACTAACAAGCTCTGGAAAAATTTCAATTCAGCACTAGTTTGGGAGTTTCCAACTTTCTTTCTGATAATTTCTTCTTTTTACCAAATCTGATCTGTAGCATATGCTCAATATGAGTCTAAATAGTCTTCATGAACTGTTTCATGAATGTTATTGACCTTATGGGATTAGAATGTATACATTTTATGTACATTATATACAAAATCAGAGCTAAAAAGCTTATATCCCTTCTGCCTCATATAGAGAGTGGAAAGTAGATCCTATATTTGATAATCCACAATTTTCAATGTACTGTATATATAATACAGATTGAAAATCATTTAATCTACTTCTGGAATACTTGAACTGTCAGTCACTCCCAAGATTTATAAATAGTCCCATACTTTTCTGTTTTTCAGATAAAGAAATATACTTGAAATGTTATGGAAAAGAGGTAGTCAAAGTATAATAGAACCATGGAAACATATCTATGGAAATGATATGAACTGAAAATGCAGGGCCCAGGTTATGGAAGCAGTGAAGTGGTGGGACCTGGAAGCTAAACCTAATCAGGCTAGCTTAATACTTCCATTGGAGACTAGCAGGAAATTCTAGGGGTTTAGGCCACTCTGGGAAATTGAAAAACATCTCAGAAGGCAATGGTGCATTTTCTCCTATTGCTGCCAAGAAAAATTTTCTATGTCTATGTAATCACAGGAGCTAAGTATTACCTTCACAAAAAAAAAAAGCTTTATTAATTTTAGGATTGCTGAGAGGATTGTTAATATTATCAGCAAAATGAATGTTCTCTTCTTAGGAAAATTTTGTAACCTGGAGGTCACCTAATTTATTTTTTCCGTAGAATGGATGCATATCCTCATAATCTATTTGCTGTTCCATGTAGGCTAGCTTCTCATAATAGAGACAATAGAGTGGAATGGTGTGTATTTATTGCTTTAAGATTTTAGACATTACCTTCAAGGGAGGAAGCACTTATGCTGAAGATAACACCAGGCTCTTGTTAATTCATTGCATGAAAACAACAACCAAATTTATCTTCATTAGGATAATGAATCCTCACTTTTTTAAAAAATAAACTTAGTATAATTTTTTTTAAAACATTTTTTTTGGTACTTTTACATATATATGAATATTTATCTACAATTTTTTTTTTTGGGTGCGTGCAGGAAACTACACCAACAGTTTGAAATGTATAAAGAACAGGTGAAGAAAATGGGCGAAGAATCGCAGCAGCAGCAACAGCAGCAGCAGCAGCAGCAGCAACAACAACAGAAGGGCGATGCTCCAACCTGTGGCATTTGTCACAAAACAAAATTTGCTGATGGCTGTGGCCATAACTGTTCATATTGCCAAACTAAATTTTGTGCACGTTGCGGAGGACGAGTATCTTTACGTTCAAACAAGGTATGTTACATGTTATATAAACTTTTATTCTGATGTTGATTATTTCATTTGTCTACCATTTTTGCAAGTCACACTTTATTTGAAAAAATATTTTAAGCACTTAAACACATCAACAAAAACAAACACATAACATACACAAACAACACTGGAACTAAACGTTCCATCGCACAGCAGATACCTATTGGTGCATCTTTACAGTTATTGTTTCCCGTCCTATACATTCCAGTTTTACATTCCTTGTCATGTACTCTTCCTTACTTGTTTATGTTTAGCCATTTATATTAGACTATCATATTGCTTTTAATATATTGCATATATTGTATATATTTTTCTTACATTAGTGTATCTTATCTTTCCTACCCATTTTCTTATCGCTATATCCTTTCTTCTACTATACATTACTTTTACATTTCCCAATTTCTTATTTCTTATTTCTATCGTCTACCCATTTGTACCATTTCCCCCAAACTGATTAGTATTCTGATTCCTCCTTTCCTTGAATTTCCTTTGACAATTTGTAAGGCCCACACTTTAATTGGCATACTTGGGACTGCACTACATATTGTAGTGGGTGGGCCCAAAACAAAATTTGATTTCATTCAGAGATTGCTAAAATTAAATATATTTATTACTAAGCAACCTGTGACCCTTGGTTCATCATTTCAGAGAAAATTCTTCATCAAATTCCTCCATGCCTTCAACATCAGCAGAGCTGCTAATATCCTGTCTTCACTGGAAAAAAATCTTTAAAATGTAGGGAGATTTTTCTGCCTTAAAAATAGCCCATGTTGAACCGTATAGAGTTGTCAAACACCAAGAGTTTATCACAGGAAATATTTTATGATATATTATGTGATAAAATACTTTATGATACCTTTTTCTCTTGAAAATAAGACCTCCCGGATAATAAGCCCAGTTGGGCTTTTTAGCGCATGCACTAAATAAGCCCTCCTCCAAAAATGAGCCCTACCCAAAAATATTGCAACACAGAAGCAGCCCTGAGGTGACCACGCTCGCCCCCTCCTCAACCTCAAAAATAATAAGATCTCCCCGAAAATAAGGCTAAGCGCTTATTTGGGGGGGGGGGTTTCAAAAGAAAATAAGAAAACGGGCCCGTTTTTTGTCAAAAAAATTGCATGCATAGCTTTATGGAGGCTTATAGAGTGCTGCTGAAGGATGGGGGGCAAAAACAGCCTGTTTTTTGCTCATTTCTGCCCTCCTCAGCCCCAAGGGGCTCTCTGAAAGCCTCCATAAGGGTATGCACAGCCATTTTGGTGAAGGGGCGGGGCTTCGGGAGGCAAAAATGCTGTATTCAGTGTATAAGATGCACCCAGATTTTCACCCTCTTTTCTGAAAAAAGGTCCGTCTTATACTCTGAAAAATATGGTACCTTGTTTCAAAAAGTTTTGCCTTTATGATGCACTGTTCTGCCCAGTTAAATGTTACAAACACAAAGAATTTTAGTAGTATATATTTAGTAGCTTGGATGAGGCCAATAGGCACTGAGTCCAATTCCTAAATGGATTAAAATGGGTTTTCTAATCCCTATGTATTCAATTATATTCAGCTTTAGTTTCCCTCTTTTTATTAACATTCAACGTTATGTGGCTACTTTCACCCAATATTCTTGCTACTTCAGTTTCCTTGATGAAGTAAATAAAATGTACAATGTTTATTTTCAAATCAAGGATAAATGATTCTCTTGTATCTTCGTCCAAACTCCAAAGGAAAAAAAGATTATAATTACTTCTCAGTCATGTGCTTAATTCTCTCCATCTGTCACCTTCTGTCAAGGTGTTGACTAGAAGGCTTAAATATCACTTTCCATATTGTTTCATCATTTTTTATATTGACATATATGTTTATTTGCAAGTTTTGACTAAATGTGCAGGCAGTTATTAATTACTTTGTATCACACAAACAACAGCATATTTTAAAGTGTTGCTCTGCTTTTAATTGTTTATTTATTCCTGCTAGTCTATGATTCTAAACACTTTGAGTCCAGAAATATCCATGAAATATTTACTTACTAAACAGAGAAACAGAAGGAGCCTGGCTGGGCAGAAAGTCAGTGTCTGTGGGAGAGATTTCTAACTTCCTGTCAGCTTTCCCATGTGCTTTCCTTGTGGAAAGCTGGCAGTGAGCATTGGAAACCCCATTCCCTCCCTTCCCCTCCCCTCCCCTCCCCTTCCCTTCCCTTAAATAGCTGCTGCTGGGTGAGGAAGGGAGCAAGAGAATATACAAAAGGCCAGTTCAGCACAAGTATAGACTAACTTGAGAAAGGTGAAACTTTCTCCATTTACTTTCCCCCTGAAAGTTTCCCACATGCAAATACTTTAATAATGGGAATATGGCAAGGAGCATCAACAATTATATCAATTTGTTCCATGTCCCCCAGCAACCTGTGGAAAGCTGTCAAGAAACATTGAAAATAAGGATCACATGACCATGGCTGAGCATAGCACACCATAGTGCTGAACAGCAGTGGTGCAGCACCACTGAAATGGTAAAAGAAATATCCCCAGATTTCATTTTCTCAAGAGTAATTGTCCCGGCATTCTCTATGTTAGCTCACTTAAGATACTTTTTTTAAACAGAGTTTTTCCCTATGATGCACTGTTTTACCCGTCTGAATATCATAAAGTATTCAACAGTTACAAGAATTTTAGGAGTATTTAGATGTATGCATCTATGAACAAATAAATATATATTCCACAATTGTGATCTAACAATGAACTAAACTACTGTATTGTCATATACTGTTGTCGTCTCCCTGCCCCCACATATGATGGTTTCTATACCTATCATTCTTACTTACTTTCATCATTGGGACATATTTAAGGAGTTTCTCACTCACTCATGGTTGTTTTGTATAATAATTTTATTACTAGGAGCCGTGGTGGTGCAGTGGTTAGAATGCAGTATTGCATGCTAATTCTGCTTGATTGCCAGCCCTTTGATTCTCACCAGGCTCAAGGTTGACTCAGCCTTCTGTCCTTCCAAGGTCAATAAAATGAGGAGCCAGATTGTTGGGGCAATATGCACTTTGTAAGCTGCTTAGAGAGGGCTATAAAGCACTGTGAAGCAGAATATGTCTAAACGCTATTGCTATTACGACATACTCCAAGATATGTTTAAATCTACTGAGATCTCAGCAGATTTTTCCTCTGAAAACTAGATGTGAATTACAAAACAATGATGCATTTTTGTAATACTTTTGATTTGAATTTGAGCAGTAGGAGAAGAGGGAATAATCCTACCATATAGCACTATATAACAGTTACAAATGCATCTCTTGAGATAGATCATGGCTGTGTCATCTGAAGTACTGGTTGAGACAAATATTTGGAGGCAAGTCACTGTCCCAGTTTATTTTGGTAGATATACACCTCCCCTGTACAGAAAATACAGCTTCTGATCTGACCTATTGTGAACTCCCATGTCACTCTATATATGATCAAGGAAAGCCAGTGGCTGAAATTAAGTGGCCAAGGAAGTATTGTGAGTTTTCTCATTCTGCTGCTTTACACTGTAGTCCCTGACAAAAGAAAGATTTATCAGCCTGCTAGAATTTAGGATTAATATTAATGATTGTAAAAATTGAAATTAAACTTGAAACACTGACACTGAAGTAAAAATTTTGGAAGACCATGAAAGCTGATTTCCCCCCTAACCATTGGGATAGGGTGAGTTTGGAGTCTAGGGGGACTGTTTTATAGAGTGTTGGGTTGGGAGCAGTAGTGGGTTTTGGCTCCCGTTGCAACAGATATGCTGCAATGGGAGCCGGGCATGCACCATGAGCATGCGCGCTGCGCATGCATGCACACCCACTGTCTGCGCACTCCAGCTGCTTGGCAGAGCATTGTGCAGGCGCCGTATGCTGCGCGCGCATGCACAGATGGCCCGTTTCCTTCAAATGCAGGTAAGGAACGAGTGTGGGTGGGCGGGCCCTCCAAACACTGTTCCGGTATGGTGGCTGCTGCTTCTGGCAGGCACCCCTATGTGTGTACCAGGGCATACCGCCTGCAAACCACCACTGGTTGGGAGCCAGATTCTTGTCTGGCTTATTGTGAGCTATCCAAAGTTTTGGCTAATCACGTAGGTTAAATAAACAAACATTCTCTTAAACCTAAAACATGATTTTAAAAAAATTACAGATACTTGTGTCTTGATTAAAAATGTTTACTGATTTGACAGATCAGATTTTGTGGGTTGAAATTGAGGGGAGCATGAAATTTGCACAAGAAAACAATATTAAAAATGAACATTTTAATTCAGCAACGTAAAAAGCTAATGGTCCCGGTATCGGTATACTGGAGTTATAACAGCAGTTGGGACCAGAATTTCTGATACTGTTAAGGTAAAGGTTCCCCTCGCACATATGTGCTAGTCGTTCCCAACTCTAGGGGGGCGGTGTTCATCTCTGTTTCAAAGCCAGAGAGCCAACGCTGTCCAAAGATGTCTCCGTGGTGATGTGGCCGGCATGACTAAACGCCAAAGGTGCACGGAACTCTGTTACCTTCCCAGCAAAGTGGTCCCTATTTTTTCTACTTGCATTTTTACATGCTTTCGAACTGCTAGGTTGGCAGAAGCTGGGACAAGTAACNGCTCTTGTGCAGTGACATCGGACTCGCTGTGTAATGCAGTGCCAATTCCCAATCCCTGAAATGCAGGCCCAAGGACAGCCCCGTTCAGTCCCGCATCTCTTCTCCGTGCACAGCACACGCAGAGTGGTATCAGAGGAGAAATGCAGGCAAAAGGCTCCTCTATTCTTTCTCTATCCCCCCTTTGCCCCCCCCCCTGGCCTGGCATGCTTGTATGCCTCCTGAATAAGCGAGCGAGCAAGCAAAAAATCCTTCCAGTCTTTGGGATGTTAGACTGAATTTCACCTCTGCCAGAAGTGCTCAGCTGACTGGTGGCCAACAGAGCTCCAGGCAGAATTGTGCCCTGCGAAGGGGCCACCTCCAGCACTCCTCTGCCACTTTCCTTTCCTCTTAGGG